GCAAGGCCCAGAAAACAGTCTTTCAAAGGAATGTTTATGACTACAGACCTTATCTGTCTTGGAAAGCTGCCATGTAAATATTTTCCAAATGAGGTGCTGTGCAAGGAAAGGCTGGGCACAGAGTCTCTGAGATTCATGGACAGATCTTCAGACTCCTGAAACGAATGAACGAATGAATGAACAAATAGTTTCCTGCAAAAGTCCACTCCCCTTTCGCTCCTCTTTTATTTCCTATGGGAGGGGCCATTCACCATCCACCTGTAGCTTTACTCCCAAGTCAACCCTGATTTCTGAGCTGTTCTTTTCTTCTGGCAGCTCTGCTCATGCACACCCCGGGAAAAGGCTCCAGCTGTTCCTCTGCCTCACTGCTGTCTAGCTCCGTAGGCACCTGATCACTGCCAGACGGCCTCGGTCCTGTCTCTGCCTCTGATGCAGAGCCCTTGTCTGAACCTTCCCCAGCCTTCAGGACTGGCCCATGCTCCTCCCCAACCTCCTCACTGTCTGACTCTGCTGCCAGCTCTGCTGGCCACTGGCGGGCCACAATAATAGTCAACCTAGCAAGTAGACGCACCTGGTTAAGGTGGCCTACATTTTGTACAGGGATTAGGCCAGATCTTTGGATGGAAGACCACTGGGAGATCCCAAGACCGTAGTCTAGAAGGGGAAGTAAAGGAAATCCCAGAGGAAGATACTGTTGTCAAGAAAACTGTATGAATGTGTCCATAAAGATAACTGAGAGATTTTATTTCTGTTTGTGCTGAAAACAGAGATGTTTATAATTACTTTGCCAACTGGTGTGATGAAGCTTGAAGATTTCCACCTGTGACTTCTCATCTCGTTACCTTGCTTAATTTGTTGCTAAATTTTCTGCAACCTCATTAAACTTTGGAGAAGAGAAAGTAGAGAGAACAAATGGCATAAACCACACTAAAGAGACTTTTGTGAATTAACCCTTCTACCTTTTTCTTATATTTGCCTTGAATGCTACTAACTTGCCTCTGTCTGTTACTGATTAATCATCATTTCGTGGTGATACCAGCTAGGATTTTCCAAGAAAAAAATGAACTAACGTAAATGAAGTCCATTATAAATGGAAACTTCGAATGAACTTCAATTCTTTTTCTCCACCTTGTCTAGAGGCTGGTTTCCAGGATATTCTTCCCATCTGAATGTCCATCACCCTCCACTAAACACATTTATTTTCCTTTCTGTAAGATCACTTATACCTAATATAATTCTTCATAAGACCTTACATTGTTAGCTAATACAGCTTTAAAGCTATAGAGATCCCGCTGCCTTAAAAAAGTTCAAAACATTCTTAAAGATTCTTCTCATCCTGGGCACTCTTTTTTTTTTGAACTATTACCATCTGGCAGACGGTACAGGACAATAAAAACAAGGACAAATAGGCTGAAAAACACCTTCTATCCCAGAGCAGTAACTATATTGAATTCTATTGTATAATGCAATTTTTTTATTTATTAATTGGAATTTGTCAAACAAAAACAAAAAAAAAGAATAAGAGAATAAAATACAATGACAGGGGCGATAGGCATATTAGTGCCCTTATGCCCCCCCCCCCCCCGCTCTACTGATCACTTAAAAGTATGAAGTGAGGTCCATGGAAGTTAATTTGTGACTGAAACTGTGAAAATTTGTAGCTGAGACAACTGAATCAGGTAGACAACTCTATTACAGAAATCATATTATTACAGTCAAGTTTAGAACGATTTACGTTGAGTTTAAAGTAGTTGTTCGTGTGCATATTATTGCAACTAAAACAGAAAAAGAAACAAAAAAGGCAGAAACAGAAAAAAACCCAGAAAAATATTAATGCAGGTTCAAGAGTTTTCAATTCAATTGTATTGAATGTGAAGGATACTGTATGTGTTTCTGTTTTATTTTTATAGTTGTTGTTGTTGTTGTTGTTGTGTATAATGTACACTGAAGATGAGATTTAATTTCGTTGAACAAGGTATAATGACAATAAAGTAATCTAATCTAATATGATAACCTGATTAGGGCAAAATCCACTCCATTCTACACCATGAACAACTCATAATTTTACTTAGCCTTTTTCTTAATTAACTATGCTTAGGATTATAGTCCAATCATAAATGGATTTGACATTATTATTATTGTTGTTATTATTATTATTATTTTACTCTTTTTGCATTAGGTCATTTGAAATTCAGGCAACTTTCCCTAAAGAATCCTTGCTTTCAGTTCTGATCTATGACTATGATTTGATTGGTTCAGATGACCTCATTGGAGAAACTAAAATTGATCTGGAAAACCGTTTCTACAGCAGGCACAGGGCTACTTGCGGATTACAAAGCCAATATGAAATGTAAGGTCCCTCCAGGACATTCAGTCTATAAGGAATGGGGGTGGATAAGGAAATTAAAAAACACCTAGAGCAGGGGTGTCAAACTCAATTTCATTCAGGGTCGCATCAGGGTTGTGTTTGACCTGAGGGGGGCAGGGGGTGTGTGGCCAGGGGAGCGTGGCCAGATCAACATCGCTCCTATCGCTGGCATCGGTGGCAGCCCAAGTGCTCTGCCAGCATTAACAGGCTCCCGAGCTCCATTTTCACTGGCAGAGGGTTGCAGGAAGCTGTGGCAGCCAAAAACGGAGCTCGGGAGCCCATTTTCGCTGGCAGAAGCACCGTGGGCTGGTCCCTCGCTGTTTCCAGGCCAGATCTAAGTACCCCGCAGGCAGGATCTGCCCCCCAGACTTTCAGTTTGACACCCCTGTTCTAGAAGAAACTTGAGTTTGCTGAGGTGTAGACATTTATGAAAGTTTTGTACAGTTCAGCAAAGCTAATTTTGACCCACGGTTTGAAGTGAGCTTCCTTCTCTCATTCCTCCCTCTGTAAAATCCTCTCCTCTCCTTGAATTTTTAGTGAAGGATACAACGCTTGGAGAGATGCCCTCAAGCCAACTGAAATCTTGAGCAAGTTATGCAAAGATAACAAACTGAATGAGCCGATCATGCAACCTGGAAAGATACAAATAGGGAGCAAGATCTTTACAGGACAGACTGTCTTTCAGGAAGATGAAAATGGTAACTGTGTTGTGCACGGGTGAATTATTACCAATATCAACAATACTCAGAGAATACCCCACAGTGTTTTTGCCACTATATAAAAAACATTGGGTGATGCATTATTATTTCATCAGTAACAGTTCATTAATAATAAGTATTGCCAATTAGCTTGCAGAGTTAAGCAGTGGTGGCTCATTAAGCAAGGGGGATCTAAAACAGTAGCCCCCAAACTTGTGGGCACCAGGGATTGGTTCTGTGGAGAGAGAGTTTTTCTATCAAATGATGGGGGTGTAGCTTTCATCCCACGGATGAGGCTTTCCTTGTTTGCATGGCCCAGTTTCTGGCATGAATAGAATAGCAGAGTTGGAAGGGACCTAGAAAATCTTCTAGTCCAACCCCCTGCTTAGGCAGGAAACCCTACACCACCTCAGACAAAGGGTTATCCAACATCTTCTTTAAAACGTCCAGTGTTGGAGCATTCATAACTTCTGGAGGCAAATTGTTCCACTGATTGTTTAACTGTCAGGAAATTTCTTCTTAATTCTAAGTTGCTTCTCTCCTTGATTTGTTTCCACCCATTGCTTCTTGTTCTGCCCTCAGGTGCTTTGGAGAATAGGTATGTAGAATGTATGGAGAATATAATAGGGATGCGGTGGCTCATTGGCTAAGACGCTGAGCTTGTCAATCAGAAAGGTTGGCAGTTTGGCGGTTCGAATCCTTAGCGCCGCGTAACAGAGTGTGCTCCCATTACTTGTCCCAGATTCTGCCAATCTAGCAGTTCGAAAGCACGTAAAAAATGCAAGTAGAAAATTAGGGACCACTTTGGTGGGAAGGTAACAGCATTCCGTGTGGCTTCGGTGCTTAGTCATGCTGGCCACATGACCATAGAGACGTCTTTGGACAACGCTGGCTCTTCGGCTTTGAAATGGAGATTAGCACTGCCCCCTAGAGTTGTGAACAACTAGCACATATGTGCGAGGGGAACCTTTACCTTTATAGAGAATATATACATGTAGCAACCCTGTGCCATTCCAGCTCCCTGCAGTTTCCTGTCCCCAGCAGATATTTGGTACCCATTGAGAAAGATCGGGCCAGCCTATCTACAAGACAAAAGGCCTCCAGCTCCAGGGTGATAGGATTAAGACATGACCCTCCAGGACATAATAGGATTGTCTATCAGCAGAGCTCACCACAGGGCACAAACACCTGGGAACATTAAATCACCCTCCAAGTTTCAACCAAACCCAGGAGCTCAGACAACCCATGACCCCTGCATAGCCCCATTGGAGTCTGACAGCAACCAATAGAATACATGCCCTTGCCACAGGAACAGGAAGCTCAAGGGCAAGGTCCAAGAGAGGGTATAAATAACACTCACTCTCCATGTGCTCAGCTGCCCAGCACCTAAAACCCATGTGGCACTGTTCACCAATAAACCATCTTTCCCATCAGCCTTCATGTTTCCAGTGTCTTTCTCTCCACTTGGAATGGAACCAGATGGCTATTTTTTCCAGCAATTGTTTGTATTGTTCCATGGGGCATTCTCATTCTCAGTATTTGGTCATCTGTCTCTACATTTTTGGGGGGAAGGGGAGACTTCCTAGAAACCAACTCAGCACATAGTGGTTTCATGGACATTTCTGTTAAGTTGTTTTGGCAACAATATGGAAAAGGTTTACATCTTCTGAGATGTTTTCTACTTCCTTAATTCCTGGAGTTCTGCATCTTCAGAAGACCAAACTATATTTAGATTCCAGGCTGCCACCAGTTGAGACTTTCTTCATTGTACGATATTGTAATGACCCACTTTGTTAATTGATGCAATGATAATTAAACAGTATATTAACCTTCTAACTCTCCTGTTCGTTTTCACGCTGTCTTTCCTTGTTCAGAGGGGGAGCCAGTAGAATCGTATGAACACCTTGCTTTGAAAGTTTTGCGTTCTTGGAATGAAATTCCAGAGGTTGGATGTAAGTTGGTGCCCGATCACATTGAGACAAGGCCTCTTTATCACAAAGACAAGCCTGGCATGGAACAGGTAAATGCAGCTGCATCTTAGAAAGATGGCAAACAATATTATATTACCTCTATCCTAATTTTCAATAGTAGAGAATGTACTGTATGTAACGCAGGATTGAACTCTTGGGTTCTTGGTGTTTTCGGAGTTTGGTTATTTTCCTGCACATGTTCTGTAATCGGGCATATAGACAATTTTCAGAACGCATCCATGAATGTGACCTGGAAGTCAGAAGAAAGAATGAATAATCCTTAATCTCTTACCTAGATAAATTAAACCACAATTACAACTGGGAAATGGTTAAGGTTTAAGGTAAAGCCAAATCCAAAAATGGTAGGGTATTCTCTGGGAATTTGAATTTGAAATTCTGACAAATCAGCCATCAACAGATACACAGAGATAAACCCCATTTACATCAGAGGTGGTATTCAGCCGGTTCAGACCGGTTCGAGCGAACCGGCAGCGGAAATTTTGAGTAGTTTGGAGAACCGGCAAATACCACCTCTGGTTGGCCCCGTCCTTCCACCCCCTTTGTTCCCTGTCCTATATTCCCTTGTTATTTTTAGCTCAACTGATTTGCGCTGACACCAAGGGCGATCTTTGAGTGCTGGGTGCGCAAAGCACTCTCTCATAGAACCAGCAGGAAAAGATTTGGAATCCCACCACTGATCTACGAGTCATTTATAAGATACAACCCAAAATCAAGAAAAGAAAAAGCAGCTTGGAGCATATTCTTCGTCAAAGCAAACACCCAGATAAGCAGGAAACTGCACCAGATAAATAATCAGGAAAGAAACGATAGAAGCAAGAAAACAACAAGGAGAAAATTATATTCTAACTAAGAGTGGCAAGACAAGCTAGTAGTATATATTACTCCACTGCAGTGGTGGGTTTCAAAAATTGTTCGAACCTACTCTGTGGGTGTGGCCTCCTTTGTGGGAGTGGCTTGCTGCTCATGTGACCGGATGGGAGTGGCTTGCCGCCCATGTGACCGGATATGAAGATGCCGACGACACTTGTCAGAACCACCTTAAATTATCTCACACACAGCACTGGCATGCATAAGAATAGGATGTCAACTTGTTTTTTAAAAGGCATCTTTGGTTTGCGTTAAAACAACTTCAACACACGCAGTGTTCTGATTGCACCACAAACGCAGTAGGATCCTGATCTGATAGGTTAGGAAAGGCTTA